GTAACCATTAGACACCTGGACTTCAACTCCCAGAATTGAAGTCCTGGCTGGGGAATTGAAGTCTACATGTCTTTAAGTTGCTGAATTTGAGAAACACCAGGTTAGAACACACACAATAGCAAGGAAGGAGAAAAGGAAGGGATGTCTATAATTAAAACTTGCTATAATTAAAGCAGATCACAGGCTAATTTCCTAGTTTCACATTGGTTTTTTTCCCTTGTGTTATAGACTACAGTCAGCCCTTTGTGTATCACAACTTTGCTTCCCTTCCTCTGTGAGAATAAAAGTCTAAGGTATACAGTATTCTGAATGCACACAAACACGTACATGCATGTACACAGACACACACACAGACAGACAGACAGACTCCAATTCAGCATTGGGAGATTAGATAATGGTTTGTTAGTATGGACTGGCACCAGGTTTTTGTTGTTTTTAATGTGTTCTGTTTTAATTTGTGTTTTATAATTTTTTAAATGATTTGATTTTTTTTTAAAAAAATAAATCTTTGGGAACCACTCGAAGACCGCTGGCTATATAAATGTTTTAATTCAAACAATCAATAATCAAGGAATGAATAAATAGGTTCAGCAAGTTATTCTGGTTTGCTGTGATTCTGCAGTTGCTTCTATTAAGGTGGCAAAAAGCGGGGTGTGTTTGCGTGTATGTGTGTTTTGATTCCATAGCTCTTTCTTTTTCACAGATAAGGAATTTAAATTAAATTAAATGGAAATTCATAGGACCTTCTGAAATGTCCTTGTTCCTAGCCCTTCCTGGCAAAGATGTGGTTACGGACAGCACCAATTTCTCCAGCATGAAGTTTTGTGGGTCCAAAATTTGCTGGCTGATACTTCTTCCTAGCAACACAATTTATTTTAGCTCTACCAACTGTTCAGTGTACTGCCTGGTGCTAGACTTTTTTTTTTCCATGACAGCTTTTGAAAACCTTAACAAAACTCACAAGAGGATTTCCCAATCCTTTGGTGAGCCCCTCTTGACCCCCTCTTCTTTGTGGCAGCCCCTTAGATATTAGAACACTGCCATCATGTCACCCCTAGTCCGTCTGGAACTCTGGTTGAATGAAAAGAAGGACCAGGGGAGATATGATAGCGGTGTTCCAATATTTGAGGGATTGTTGCAGAAAAGAAGGGGTCAGTCTGTTCTCCAGAGCACCTGAGGGCAGGGAAAGAAGTAACAGATGGAAACTAATCAAGGAGAGAACCAACCTAGAATGAAGGAGAAACTTCCTTTAACAGCGAGAACAATTAACCAGTGGAACAGCTGGCCATCAGAAGTTGTGGGTGCTTCATCACAGGAGGTTTTTAAGAAGAGACTGGACAACCAGTTGTCCGAAATGGTATAGTGTCCAAGGTCCCTTCCAGATTCTATTCTATTCTATTCTATTCTTCATTCTTCTATCCTACACTACTCTACTCTACTCTACTCTACTCTACTCTACTCTACTCTACTCTACTCCACTCCACTCCACTCCACTCCACTCCACTCCATTTATTCTATTCTATTCTATTCTATTCTATTCTATTCTATTCTATTCTATTCTATTCTATTCTATTCTCCATTGCATCTATTCTATTCTATTCTATTCTATTCTATTCTATTCTATTCTATTCTATTCTATTCTATTCTATTCTTCATTCTTCTATCCTACTCTACTCTATCCTACTCTACTCTACTCCACTCCACTTATTCTATTCTATTCTATTCTATTCTATTCTATTCTATTCTATTCTATTCTATTCTATTCTTCATTCTTCTATCCTACTCTACTCTATCCTACTCTACTCTACTCTACTCCACTCCACTCCACTCCACTCCACTTATTCTATTCTATTCTATTCTATTCTATTCTTCATTCTTCTATCCTACACTACTCTATCCTACTCTACTGTACTGTACTGTACTGTACTGTACTGTACTCTACTCTACTCCACTCCACTCCACTCCACTCCACTCCACTCCACTCCACTCCACTCCATTTATTCTATTCTATTCTATTCTATTCTATTCTATTCTATTCTATTCTATTCTATTCTTCATTCTTCTATCCTACTCTACTCTATCCTACTCTACTCCACTCCACTCCACTTATTCTATTCTATTCTATTCTATTCTATTCTATTCTATTCTATTATTCTATTCTATTCTATTCTATTCTATTCTATTCTATTCTATTCTATTCTATTCTATTCTATTCTATTCTATTCTATTCTATTCTATTCTATTCTATTCCATTCTTCATTCTTCTATCCTACTCTACTCTACTCCTCCACTCTGCCTATTCTATTCTATTCTATTCTATTCTATTCTATTCTATTCTATTCAGTAGAAAGGGCAAAGGAGGCTCTAACACACAAACACACACATGTACACACACACAACTAAGGCGACCCTTTCTGTCTCCACAAAATCCAGCCTGCACCAGGTCTCATCGGACCATAACATATTTTCCCACTTGCTTTTGTCAGACTTAATGTCCCAAAGATGTTTTTTTTCACGAGACAATTGGACTTTTTTGTTTTTCTTTGAAGACATTTCGCTTCTCATCCAAGAAGTTTCTTCAGCTCTGACTGGATGGTGGGGAGTGGAAAGACGCCAGCATCCAGTCAGAGCTGAAGAAGCTTCTTGGATGAGAAGCGAAATGTCTTCAAAGAGAAAAAAGAAAGTCCAGTCACCTCTTGAAAAAGCCCCTTTGGGACAACCATGACCTGGATGACCAAGAATCTCGATAAACTGCCAGACGTAATGTAGGTTTTTGCAAAATGTAGCCAGGCGTGGATGCTTTTCTTTATAAGAAAAGGCTTTGGTCTTGCCAACCTATCCCACACGCCCAGATGTATGAAGGTTGTCACATGCAGTACACAACTAGTACTTGCAATAAATGGCAATCCTTCTGTCAACACAGGCAGAGAATGAATGATTAGGTTCCTACAGCATGCAAACTTCCTTAACCATTGTTTATGATAGCCACAATGAGCTTGGAGTTCACACACCATGGTACAAAGTCATGTTGTAGCTTAGGGCTAAACCTCTCCAGGATTTGAATCTCGCTGCATTTCTCTAGTTTTATCTGCCTTTACAGTGTGCTAATCCTAAATGTTTAAATCTGTTCTTCTCCTTCTCCATGCTGTGTTTAGCTGTAGTTTTTTTTAAATGGTTCCTAATGAAGAATGATCAATTCCTAATAATAATAAAAATTATAAGTGGAGAAGATAACAAAAATGCAAAGACCTGCAAATAGAAATAGAACAACTGTGGCAAAAGAAAGCAAAGGTAGTATTTCTCTAGTTTTATCTGTCTCTACAATGTGCTAATCCTAAATGTTTAAATCTGTTCTTCTCCTTCTCCTTCTCCTTCTCCTTCTCCTTCTCCTTCTCCTCCTCCTCCTTCTGCTTCTCCTCCTCCTTCTCCTCCTCCTTCTGCTTCTCCTTCCTTCCCCCACCCATCTCCTTCCTTCCTTCCTTCCTTCCTTCCTTCCTTCCTTCCTTCCTTCCTTCCTTCCTTCCTTCCTTCCTTCCTTCCTTTCTCCACCACAACCATCACCACCGGAGTCCATACCAAGGTTTCCTGTGGCCTGATCGTTAGGAAGTAGAGCCAAGGTTGACTACCCCTGAGTAGACATTCCTCGCTTACGTCCCCTGCCACCATCTCAGCTAAATGTCTTTCATTGGAGCTGAAAGTTGATGTTCACCAACTTGGCTTGGGAGTCTTTTGCTTTCAAGGGACAATGTCAAGAAGAAGCCATGTTTCTCCTGCTTCTCCATATAAAAACCCCTCCAGGTAGCATACAAAAGGCCTAGTCTTGCCCAAACCTTCCTATGGTCAGCCTCGTTTTTTTTTTCCCAGGGACAGGAGACCTTCTGGTGTTCTCTCATCTTGAAAACATTCATTCCTCTGGGGTGTGTACGTGTGTGTGTGTGTGGGGGGGTGTCTTGCTGTCTTTTTGGGAAGCCAGAGGGCTCTCTATACGGTTCCTTCCTCCCCCCCCCCCCGACTTTGATCTTCTGCTCGTGTTTGCTCAGTCGGTCAACCCAGACAGGGTTAGCGTCTGAGGTCAGCTTCTCTTCTGTTCCCAAATCCTAGACATGGGTGAGGAGGAAAGATTCAGGTTACAGACCCCCTCCTCCTCCTCCTCCTCCTCCTCCTCTTCCTCCTGCTTTGCTCTCCCCCTGCACGCACACACACACACACACACACACACACACAGAAGAGCTTTATAACCCTGTTAGCAGCTGGCCAGGCTTCTGATGTGTTGGTTCCATGCTCCCCAAAAAAATTCCACTCACAAAAACTAGGAGAGGATTTCTTTTTTTGGTGCTGTTTTGTTTTGTTTTTCCGAAATACAACTGTTGGTTTGCTGGTGAGCCAGATCCAAGAGAGCCATCCTTCCTCCCTGGCAAGCCCCCATTCTTGTTATTTTGCGAGCAACGAGGCTCCCCAGTTGCACGTGAGAAGAACCCTCTTGAGTGAGGAGAGACAGAGACCCAGAGACAGAGGAGACAAAGGAATCGCGCAGACTGGGCGAAGTTGGAAACGGAGCATCCGGTCTTGTGAAGGGTGCTCCTGGGTCAAGGATGCTGGTCTGGGAAAGGCCTGGCGAGCTTCGGGGCGCTGCCTGGCATGGACCCCAGACCCGAAGGATGCTGAGAAGATGAGAAGGTTCTCCAGAGAGAAGAAAGAAGCACTTTTTCTTTTTTTAATTTGGGTGTCTCCACTGCCAGACTGCTACCTCCTCTCTTTCTCTCTCCTTCTCTCTCTCTCTCTCTCTCTCTCTCCCCCCCTTCCTCTCTTTGCAAATGTGATTGTTTTGTCTATCACACAGGGCAGAGTGGAAGACTGTTCCTGGTAGGGTGAGGGAGAAACACAGATAGGTTACAGGAGTCTGCCTCAGCCGGATGCTTTTCTGGGCTCCTACGGGGAAGCGACCGAAGGCAGCGGGCTGCCTGAGAAAGCTTGGAAGATCAGGGTTGCCTCGGGACTCCATGCTGCCTTCACTTCTCCTCTCTCTGCTCTCTGTCCTGGCAGAAGGGGCCAGCCTCCAGCCAATCAGAACCAACCACCTGGGGATGTGTCCCAACCAGCTGAACCCCAACCTCTGGGTGGACGCTCAGAGCACCTGCGAACGGGAGTGCCAAGCCGATCAGGTGAGACGTAGCGGCGGGGCGCTGCTCCCCAGCTGCACCTTCAGCCTGGATGGAGCAGAAGATCTGGTGGTTCTCAGGGGGAAAAAAAGGAGGTGGGGGGAGAAAACGGGGGCCGGGGGTAAAGGGAGATGACGGGGTGGGTGAGCAGGGCAGCTTCTCCCCCAGAGGTCACTGGTCCAGCTGGTGAAGATATTATTTGCCAGTTGGACCTCTTTGGGGGATTTTAAGTTTCTCGGTGTGCATCAGGTGGACAGCTGAGCCTCCTCGCCCATCTCTAGTTCAAAAGGGTCATTAACAGATCCCAGGAAGAAGTTTTGAGGAGCTTCTGGGTAGATCTCCCCAACTGCCTGCTGGGGTTCCCTGGAACCAGGACTCTGTAGCTCCGATCCGGTGACAAAAGGACGAGAGCTTTGAACACCTTCAGAAGAGGGAGATGTTCTGCCCCTGAGGTTCCTCCGAAGCATTCACAGCCTCGTTTTAAGAACAAGGGTGTGTGTAAACCTTTAGTAAGGTCATTTTGGGTCCCCCTGTTAGCCATTCAGGCAAATATTCTGCTCCCAGGGCGGAAACGGGACCCTGGAGTGAATCAGCCCAGATTGTGTCCAGTTGGTAACCTTCGTAAGTTCTTCTCTAACCTTGTGTTGGAGACAGGCTTCCTTATCGGCATTGTTGAAGGATACGGTGGTTTTCTTGGCCGCCAAAAGATGTGCAGTTATATTTAAACAAAAAGAGGGCATTTTTTTTCCCTTCAGTTTTTAACACACTGCTTGGTTTCTGAAACTGCCCAGCCAAGGACTGGCACCCATGGCTGCAGGGAAGCGGGAACAAAAAATGTGGAAAAGAACAGTGGCAAAACCCTTCAATAGGTTTACCAATGGAGATAATAATAATAATAATAATAATAATAATAATAATAATAATAATAATGATGATGATGATGATGATGATGATGATGATGATGATGATGATGATGATGATAATAATAATAATAATAATAATAATAATAATAATAATAATAATAATAATAATAATAATAATAATAATAAATTTGGAAGGGACCTTGGAGGTCATCGAGTCCAACCCCCTGCTCAGGCAGGAACCCTACACCATTTCAGACAAATGGCTGTCCAGTCTCTTCTTTAAAACTTCCAGTGTTGGAGCATTCACTGCTTCTGGAGGCAGGTTGTTCCATTGGTTAATTGTTCTGTCAGGAAGTTTCTCCTTAGTTCTAAGTTGCTTCTCTCCTTGATCAGTTTCCATCTGTTGCTTCTTGTCCTGCCTTCAGGTGCTTTGGAGGATAGCTTGACTCCCTCTTCTTTGTGGCAGCCCCTGAGATACTGGAACCCTGCTATCATGTCCCCCCTCGTCCTTCTCTTCATTAAACTAGACATACCCAATTCCAGCAACCGTTCCTTATATGTTTTAGCCTCCAGTCCCCTAATCATCTTTGTTGCTCTTCTCTGTACTCTTTCTAGAATCTCAGCATCTTTTTTACATCGTGGTGACCAAAACTGGATGCAGTATTCCAAGTGTGGCCTTACCAAGGCATTGTAAAGTGGTATTAACACTTTACGTGATCTCGATTCTATCCCTCTGTTAATGCAGCCTAGCGCTGTGTTGGCTTTTTTTGGCAGCTGCAGTGGCAAAACCCTTCAATAGGTTTACCAAAGGAGATGGCTGTGGGGTCATCGGCCATCAACTCCTACAGCCCCATCTTCCTCCCACATTCCTTCTCCCAAAACTACCGATACAAACAAGCTGGAGAACACATACAAAGCCACAGTGTAGTTGTGGAGTGGGGTGAAATCACACCCCTCCCCAACTTTACCAGAAGAAAAATTCTGGCGCAAAAGAAGTTGCTAGGATCTTTAGGCAGTTGAGTTGGGTGGGAAGAAGGAATTAAAGGAGAGCAGAAGTGAGCGTGTCCATGCTGGAGGGCAGGGGCTGAGGTGGATCCTTGTAATCAACAGCAGCTGCCCAAGAGGAAAATGCATCTTTTGTCATCGGTGTGTTAAGGCAGAGAAGAGATGTGTGGTTGTAAACTGGGCTGCGGCTTTGCCTATCAATCTGGCCTTGGCTTGGGGGAAGATCTGGCAGTTGTGTCCAACCTTGGCCACTTTAAGACTTGTGGACTTCAACTCCCAGAATTCCCCAGCCCGCCATGCAGCTTCAGCTCTGGGAGTTGGAAGTCCACGCATCTTCAAACTGCCAAAGTTGAGAAAGACCGCTTGAGAGTACAGGTTGTCGTCAGCTTACGACCACAACGGAGCCCAACATTTTTGTCGCTAAGTGGGACAGTTGTTAAGTGAGCTTTGTCACATTTTAGAACCTTGCTTGCCGCGGTGGTTAAGTGAATCACTGCAGTTGTTAAGTTAATAACACGGTCGTAAAGTGAATCCAGCTTCCCCATTGACTCAATTTGTCAGAAGGTTGCAAAAGGGGATCACGTGACCCCCCCCCAGGACACTGTGCCCGTCATAAGTATGAACCAGTCGCCAAGCGTCTGAATTTTGATCATGTGACCACAGGGATGTTGCGGGGTCATAAGTGTGAAACATGGTCGTTGGTCACTTTTTTTAGCGCTGTTGTAACTTTGAACGGTCACTAAACAAACGGATGTAACTCTACCTGCACCGTCAAAGCTCTGCAGGTTTCTTGTACCGTGTTCAGAACTGCTTCTCTCTTCTGTTCTTCTGGGGCTGAGAGAGCGACTGATCTTAGCTCACCCAACATCTTTCATCTCTAAAGGAGAACGAGAGCCCATCTTGCACTAATCCAGAATGCTTGTTCCCTGTTTGTGGCTGCCTGGTGAAATCCACACTTGATGTGTTTTGAAAATAATGATTTAAGGCTGTGTAACGGGAACCCAGCCAAGGGTGATGCATTCAGGAAGACACGGATATGGGAACTGTGATTTAGAGCAGGGGTGTCCAACTGCCAGCACATGGGCCAGTTGCCTCATGCGAAGGCCACATCCACCCTGAAAAAAGTCATGATACGTCGCCATGTGGCGAGTTTGACACCCAGGATTTAGAGCAACAAGTGAAGCTGAGTAGTGGCTGGGTTCACACAACATGGCTAAAGTAGAATCCTTGGTGCTCTTTGAGCTTGGAGGGTTTCTTGCAGACATTTCATTACCAAACTAGGCAACATCACCAGTACTAGAAGGGAGTGGCATTTGTGGAGAGGAGGAGGAGCAGGAGGAGGAGCAGGAGTCATCCTTGGTTCTTTCTGAGCTTGGTGGTTTTCTTGCAGACATTTCATTAATAAACATCTTGGGTGCTAGAAGGGAGCGACGTTAGCTCTTTATTTTTATATACATTCATACATTTATCAGTTTATATACATTCATATCCTCTTCTATTGCTATAACATGCTAAGTCAAAACTTGCTGCTGTTTATTGTGTTGTCTGAAACATCCGGGATGCTGTGCAAACCAGCTTAATGCATCCTGTAAACTTGGTCAGTTGATGGATGAGCACAATGGGCTTGCCCAACCATTAGAACAGGTAGACTCTTGTTTGACTCGGGACAAGGTGCGTTCTGCCTGTGCGATAAACCTCCCAAGAAGAAGCGTGCTTGCATTTGAACATCTCTGTCTTTGTTTCCTCGACAGGATTGCGAAGGCTTTGAGAAATGCTGCACCAATGTTTGTGGCTTGCGGAGTTGTGTGGCTGCCCGCTACGCTGACGGAAGCGTCTCTTCGTTGGAACAGGTGCAGGAAGCCACCTGCGAGAGTTTCGTCTGCACCCAGCAGGGCTCGGACTGTGATATTTGGGACGGGCAAGCTGTCTGCAAGTGCAAGGACAGGTGTGAGAAGGAGCCCAACTTCACCTGTGCCTCCGATGGACTCACCTACTACAACAAGTGTTACATGGATGCCGAGGCCTGTATCCGGGGCATCAGCCTGGCAGTGGTGCCTTGCAAGTACATCTTTACCTGGCCCAATACCAGCCCGGTGCCAGTGGAGACCACTACTCACCCCACCCCTGGGGCATCTCCGGAGCTGCCAATCCCACCGGCTCTCTACAACAATCCTTTCCACCAGCTTGTCTACATGGGAGGCACCGTGAGCTTCCACTGTGACGTGAGCGGGCGTCCTCGTCCCGACATCACCTGGGAGAAGCAGAGTGACCATCAGGAGAACTTCATCATGCGGCCCGACCAGATGTACGGCAACATGGTGGTGACCAACATTGGCCAGTTGGTCATCTACAATGCCCAGCCTGAAGATGCTGGAATCTACACATGTACGGCTAGGAATTCTGCTGGCCTCCTGCGCGCTGACTTCCCGCTCTCGGTGGTCAAGAAGGAACACTCCAGAGGAGAGCCACGAGTTTCTAGTACGTTGAAGCTCCCACCCAACGAATGCTTGAAGGAACCAGATACCCAGGATTGTGAGACCTCCCAAACCCGCTGGCACTTTGACTCCAAAAAGGGCTCCTGTGTTACTTTCCGTTACGGCAATTGTGGGGCGAACCAGAACCATTTTGACACTTACGAGGAGTGTCAAGTGGCCTGCGTCAGCCACGCAATCAACCTGTGTACTCTCCCCATGGTGCAAGGACCCTGTAAGAACTGGGAACCTCGCTGGGCCTACAACCACCTGATGAAGCAGTGCCATTCCTTTATCTACGGCGGTTGCGAGGGCAACGAGAACAACTTTGACAGCAAGGAAAGCTGCGAGGACACCTGCCCCTTCCCCAAGACCTTGCTGTGCAAAAGCTGTCGCCTGAAAAGTAAGATGGTATTGAGCCTCTGCCGCAGCGATTTTGCCATCGTGGGGCGACTGATGGAGATCGTCGAGGATCAAGACTCTGGGATCGCCCGTTTTGCCCTGGACGACGTTCTCAAGGACGAGAAGATGGGCCTCAGGTTCTTCAACATCAAGTATCTGGAAGTCACCATGACGGACATGGACTGGAACTGCCCCTGTCCCAACATGACCACGGAGGATGGGCCTCTCATCATCATGGGGGAAGTCCACGATGGCATGGCTGTCCTTGACCCCAACAGCTATGTCCGGACTGCCAATGACAAGCGGGTCAAGAAGATTTACGAGCTGCTGGAGAAGAAGACCTGTGAGTTGCTCAACCGCTTCCAGGACTAGGGTGGGTTTGAGGGGAGGGAAAGTAGGCAGACAAGAGAGACCCCCTCCTCAAAGGCACAGCCATCCTTGTATTGTCATAGACACCAAGGACCAGGTGGGAAGATGAACAGATGAACTGCTGCCCCCCCCTTTCAATCCACAGAGGGGTTGTGTTCACACAACACGCTTAACCCAGTCACTGAACTAACTGATTTTTATTTTTTTTTTGAGTTTTTCTCAATACTCGGATCTACAAACCAACCAAACCGGTTGGGTTCACACAACACAAAAGGGAACTAATTCCACTCAAGCGTACTGAGTATATCTACAGGCAGCCCCTTGACTTACAATTGAGCCCAAAATTTTAAGCTGCTAAGCAAAACAGTAGTTAAGTGAGTTTTGTCCCGTTTTACAACCTTTCTTGCCACAGTTGTCAAGTGAACCACTGCTGTTGTGAAGTTAGCAATACGGTTGTTAAGTGAATCTGGCCCCGCCATTGATTTTGCTCAAGAGGGGATCACATGACCCCGGGACACTGCGACCGCCATAAACGTGAGTCAGTTGCCCAGTGTCCAAATTTTTGATCACGTGACCCTGGAGAGGCTGCAATGATCGTTAAGTGTGAAAAACGGTCGTAAGTCCCTTTTTTTCAGTGCCATTGTTAACTTCGGTCACTAAATGAGCTGTTGTACGCCGAGGTTGTAAGTGACTTGGTTTAGTGTGCTGGGGTGAAAACAGTCAACGAAGGGCAATCTACATTTCCCGTCTTCAATCCAGGCCAGCTCTAATTTATTTTTTAAATATTTTCCCGTCACAATCGGAACTCTTACTACGACGAGGGCTGGCTAAATGCTTGTAAGGGTCTACCTACCGTCTGATTTTGTGTAAGCTGTAATTTATCCGCAATCAGTACACCCAACTGCTGTACATCCTTCTCAGCTGCTCCAGTCTTTGTGAAATTAAGACTAATTAAACCAACAAACCGTCTTTCTTCTCAAACTACAGCGCAGGTCAACAGAAGCTTTTTTTTAAAAAAAATCCTTTCTTTAGTCAAATAGCACTGTTCTTGAGGACTAGCTTCCTAGCCTGGGTGAGCAATTGCCAATTTCTGGGGGGGGGAAACCATCATAAATCATGGTCCTGTGACTATAAGATGCTGCAAATGGCTGTAAAGGGGGCCGGTTGCTGAGGACCTCAAATTGGTCACGTACCACAGGGTGTGTGTGTGTGTGTGTGTGGCCATTGGAACTTCAGAACCAGGTCATAAGTAAATTTTGGGGAGAGGGGGCGTCTGTCATAACTTTGAAACATTGCTGTGACCGATTATAAGTTGAGGACTATGTAAATTGAAGGGGGGGAAAAGCATTTTTCTTCACATTTTGCAAGCCGTTTTACTGTTTCCCTACAGCCCTAGAATTCTTTAGAGGAGACCCATCCAAGTTGTAACCAGGACTGGCCCTGCTTAGCTTGAGTGCAGACAAACTTGATCTAATACTGCCCCCTGGTGACACAATATCAGATTTACCTTTCCCAAGGGCTCCAATCGGTAAAAACCAAACAAATAGTCGTGTAGTGATGCCGAAAGGTTACATTTATTTGCACCCAAATGCAGCACAGATTATGTAAGCTGCTGTTACCTTGATTCTTCGCCAAGGCTCTTTTTTGAGCGTATCACACCACCCCAAATAAGAATTAAAGAAACATAGATATGCCACACATCACCACTGGAGGGAGACATTATTCTACGTACAAATTAGAGAGATATAGATTTAATTTTCTTCCCCTGGATATAGAAATCTTCTCTTTTTGTATTTTTTTTAAAAAAAAAAAAAACATTTGAAGGGAGGCTGCAAGAAAAGAAAATTTAAAAAAAAATCAATTATCACCTTTAAAGGTCACTCTGATCTGCCTAGGGACATGTGAATAGCACTGGATTGTAAACAACAAACACAAGCAGTCCCGTTGGGAGAGTCCCGTTGGGAGAAGGGCGGCATATAAATTAAATTAAGATATAAGATATAAGCAGTTAGTTACACGAGCAAAAAAAGTTTGGAAGTTATCACTCTTCCCACGTGAAGCGGTGTGCAATTCGCCACGTTTGAAAGCAAACGAACCAACTTTTCACCCCTGCAGAAAACTGGGACGGGACCTTTTTTTAAAGCCAGCCATCCAGATCTACTGGATTACGAGACCAAATCTGGAGATCCACTGCAATCCAGCACATCTGGACAGAGATCTGGGCAACATCAACCCTGTCTTTCAGGCTGGTGTTCTACAGGAAGGGAGATGTTCACGCAGAAGGGACACTCAAACCTCCAGACTGTCGAACGTGCCATCTGGATGTTTGAATCAAAGGAACTTTAGAGCATGTGATGCATCTAAAGGGCCATGCATTGATTCAACATAAGGCTCGTTGTTTTAAGATTAAGCATGGGGGTTTCTGATTTTCCCATCTCCCCGAAGGTAACAGAGGAGGGCATTGTTTTAAATTGAACCAGTGGCATGAAATAGTGAGGATGGCTAGCTCTGGGGTTCATTAAGTCTTGCCCTGATGTAATATCATTGTTGTAATTAAGGAAGAAGTGTGTGGGGGGGGAAAGACCCCTGCCAAAATTTCATGGCAGGAAGACAAGCAGAGATATGCTTTCAACTGGAGAGGGGAGTTTACAAGCATTTTGCCTCCCCTTCCACTTGATTTAAAGTCAAAAGTTTTAGTGATTTAGGAGGAAAGAAGAAATTGCCTTCCAGGCTTCTTAAAGCAGGAATGTCCCACTTCAGCAACTTTTAACCTTTATGGACTTCAAACTCTCAGAATTCTGCAAGCTGGGGAATTCTGGGAGTTGAGGTCCACACCCCCGTCTTAAAGCATTATTCCTAAACTGTCATTCCTGAAGCCTCATCTCGCAACCCTTCTCCAAAGCCACAATCTCATCACAACCGGCCAAATTGCTCATTCCACCTCCCAACCCCAGCCTTCATGTATAAACCAGGATTTGTGGCTTGCCATGTTGCCCAAACCAAAACCTGCAGACATTTAAGGCCCCCTGAAACCAGGATTTCAACCCTTGGTTACATGTGCTGTGTTCTGGATCCGCCAAGCAAGGGCTGCTATGGAGGTCCACCACATCACCACGCTTGTTAGGAGAGCAACTGGCATTCAATGGTTTAACTGGGGAGATGGACTTGTTAACTGAGCGTTCTTGTTTATGGTACCCTGGGAACACACCCTGTTTCTGAAGCTGAAGGGGTGCCTCTAAATTTGTGACGTGAGTAGCACAACCTGGAAACCAAAGCTGAGTCTGAAGCATTAGGTCCAAAGCAGATAGCTGCATGACCATACTGGTCAAGACGTACATGAACAACAGTGGTTCCTGAACTCTCCTTTGTCCAAGGTTGCAAGTCTCTTGCACCCAGCTCCAAAGAAGCATTAACATCCTCTCTCTCCATCCCCCCAAAATGAAGAACAACATGACCAACCATCTGTGCTGGACCACAGTTCTTCTAGAAAGTTTTCTTCCCCATCTACAAATTAATTATGGCACTTGGTCCCATCACTCCATAAGGGCTTCCTCGTGGATGTGACAAGAAGCAGAGTTCAACAGGAGACAAGCAGAAGATATCCTGCAGAGGGAGAAGACCTCCACGGGATCTTGAAGTGGTCCATGAAGACCTCCGCAGCATCTCGAAGTGGTCCATGGAGACCTCCGCAGCATCTCGAAGTGGTCCGTGGAGACAGCAGTCCGGTCACTTAGCGTTTGCGGAAAATGAGGCATTTGTTGTTTGCAGGCATGTCGACCTGGAAGCAGAAACTCTTGTGGTTATTCTGGGCAATAAGAATGTAATTGATACCAGTTGCAAGAATATCCCCCCTGCAGGCTGGGGGCACTCAGGGACCCCAGAGATCAGCGGAAGGAGCTGAATTCCAAAGAATTTAGTTAGGGAAAGAACTGACCCGGCTATGGGAAAGAAACTCAGCTCCTTTTAGGCAAAAGTCCTCTCAAAATATCAAATTGGAGGGGAGCGCCTCTGTAGTCAGGCAAAATGGCTGCTAGAAATTGGGCTGCACAATGGTGTCACTGAGGCAGGGGTGTTTGAAGGGTTGGTTGAGAAAAATCAAAGGGGCCAGCGGCACGAAGGCTTCAATCACATGGTCACAGCTGCCCTCTTGACTTGGGATATCTCTCTGACCAGATTAAAACTAAAATGGTAAAACTTGAGCTCTAGATTAAAATAATAATAATAATAATAATAATAATAATAATAATAATAATAATAATAATAATAATAATAATAATAATAATAAAAAGAAGTTGGAAGGGACCTTGGAGGTCATCTAATCCAACCCCCTGTTCAGGCAGGGAACCCTATACCATTCCAGACAAATGGCTGTCCAGTCTCTTCTTCAAAACTTCCAGTGTTGGCGCATTCACCGCTTCTGGAGGCAGGCTGTTCCACTGGTTAATTGTTCTAACTGTCAGGAAGTTTCTCCTTAGTTCTAGGTTGCTTCTCTCCTTGGTTAGTTTCCATCTATTTGTTTCCTGCCCTGCCTTCAGGCGCTTTGGAGAATAGCTTGACTCCCTCTTCTTTGTGGCAGCCCCTGAGATATTAGAAGACTGCTATCATGTCCCCCCTCGTCCTTCTCTTCGTTAAACTAGACAGATCCAATTCCAGCAACCGTTCCTTATATGTTTTAGCCTCCAGTCCCCTGATCATCTTTGTTGCTCTTCTCTGCACTCTTTACAGTAAAACTGTAAAACTGACATTGCAAAACAGAAGCGAACAAAAACTAAACCGGAAGCGAAACAAAAAACCGTAAAACAGAAGTAAAACGAAAACTTAAAACAGGAAAGCTGACGCTGAAACGGCAGCCAAAATTAAAATTGTTCCTTTTCCAGTTGTAAACCAAATGGGATACCTTTCTCAATTCAGCCTACCATGTTTTCCAACTGCATCCCATTGGCCACGGCAAGCTGTTGCAGGACAGCGGTGTCTCTGAGTCCCCAAGCTGGATTGCTGGTAGAGATAGGGAGGGAGGGAGGAAAACAGAAAGAGAAAGAGGAGGAGGAGGAGGAGAAGGAGGGGAAGGGGAAGGGGGAAAAGGAAGGAAGGAGGGAGGGAGGGAAGGAAGGAGGGAAGGAAGAAACATCATTAGCCTTCTACTAAAAGAATAATTCTGCAACCTAAAAAAACAATTGCTTCTGGAAGAAAAGTGGATATAAAGAACTCTCAAGAGATGAGATGAGGGCTGGTTGTTGACAAACAATGGCTCTCTGTGCCCCCCCCTCCTCCCCATCATTCTGGGGTGGTCCTATTGAAATCTGGCAATAAAATGACTTCTGTGCAACAACACAACTTTTCCCTTTCTTGGTCTTCCATTTCCACTGAGAAGCACATCTGGAAATGGCCATGCCATCACTTTGCGGCAGAATTTGGGTAGCCCATTGTGGGCATTAAATGTAGAAGTGTGAACCCTGTCTTCTGAAGACCCCCAAACATCCATTCTTAACCTTTAACCTTCCCTGAGAAAAACTGCAGGGTGGCGAACTCATTTCCACCCTTTTCCAAGAGGGATGACCGCCCTCCAGCCAGGTTATCGACCAGGTCAAGATGAGGGCCACAGTTGTTCAGCTGAAGCTGTGCCCCTCTTTAGGGTGCCACACTGTGCACACAAAAGGGACCAACTGCATCGTTGTGTTGCCATCTGGACTTTTTTGACACTCGCAAACATACGCATGCAGAAAACCTCACTTTGCGCTGCTCACCTCTGCCTCAACCTGTAATCAAAATCGACGTTGCTCTGTGGAGTGATGGAACCATTCACCGCGTAGGGCTGTTGAGCACGGGAGCAAAACAACAACAACGACAACAACTATTAGACAAAGTCATCCATCCTCCAGCAAAGTGGGAAGTCTCTCCCCTACCGGGAGCATCCATGCCCTCCACAGTCGAAAATGGAAGCAAGGAAACTAATGGAATACTGCAGCCAATTTTGGTCACCATGTCACAGAAAAGATGTTGAGAGTTTGGAAAAATTTCAGAGAAGAGCAACTAAGATGATCAAAGGCCTGGAGGCTAAAACATACGAAGAACGGCTGCGGGACTTGGGTTTGGCTAGTCTAAAGAAAAGAAGAAACAGGGGAGACGTGATAACAGTGTTCCAGTATCTGGGGGGCTGCCACAAGGAAGAGGGGGTCACATTAGTCACCAGAGCACCAGAGGGCAGGACGAGAAACAATGGTTGGAAACTGATCAAAGAGAGAAGCAACCTGGAATTAAGGAGAAACTTCCTGACAGTGAGGACAATCAACCAGTGGAACATCTTGCCTCCAGAAATTGTGGGTGCTCCATCACTGGAGGTTTTTAAAAAGAGACTGGACAATCACCTGCCAGTGGTAAAGCTTGAAAAGCAGGTTACTTCTTGCATTGACCTTGGGAGGATCAGGAGTAGCCAGTCTGTCTCTGCTTATTGATTATTAAACTTACAGCATCTCCGAGCAAACACTTACTCCGTAGGTGATCATCACAGCTTTAGGTTTGAGTAGTTTTCCAGCTCCCTGGAACAAGCCCTGGACAAACAGGAGCCAGGAGGGAGGGAGGGAGGGAGACAGAGAGAGAAGCTATCAGTCCTGGAAAGAACGTCTATCAAGGATCGCGAAATAAATATGACATGGTTCAAAGCAAAGCACTTATTCAGGTAGTCCTCAACTTACGACAATTGGGACCAGGACTTCAGTGGCTAAGTGAGGCAGCTGTTGTGCTCAATTTTATGATAGTTTTTGCTGGGGTCATTAAGTATGCAATTGCCTCCTTCCTAGAGCTGAGAGGTGATGTAAGGTCACCCAGATGATTTTC